CCCTTTTCTTTTTTTAAGATTTATTTTATTTGTAGCTGGGCATAGTGGTGCACACCTTTAATCTCAGCACTCAGGAGGCAGAGGCAGGTGGATCTTTGTGAGTTCAAGGCCAGCCTGGTCTACATAGCGAGTTCCAGGCCAGTAGGGGCTACAGGGAGACCCTGTCTCAAAAAGACAAAAAAAAAAGATTTATTTTATTTATATGTGTGAGTGCCTGTATGTAGGTATATGCACTCTGTGTATGCCTGTGGAAGCCAGAAGAGGGCTTCAGATCCCCTGGAACTGGATTTACAGGTTTATGAGCTGGCATGTGGGTACTAGGAACCAAACTCTGGTCCTCTGCCAGAGCTCTTAGCCTCTGAGCCATCTGCCCAGCCCCCAACACAAATGCAGGTCTTACCTCAGTGCTCCCTTACCTGCAGATAAACTCACATCTTGACTGTCGTTTTAGTGAAGTGGCCTTGCCAGCTCCCTCACATCAGTTAATGGTGATAGCCCTTCTGCTCTTTGGAAGTGGTAAGAAAGAATAGAACCTGAGGCAGCTTTTGAAAACATTGTCCTCAGATTCTGCTGCAAGGCAAGGCAGGAGGGAATTACATAAAAGTACAGATATTCATTCTTGCTCTAGAATGTGCTGGCCAGTAGTTTCATTAACCTCCAGTGTCATGTGTGGTGTAAGAAATCACAACTGCCTGTAGCTTGTGCCTAGCATTGAACAACCCAGCTTTTACTGGGTCTCTCTTGGTTTGTGACTTTGCCTTTTTACCGTTTGAACAGAGACCTATCCTCTGCCTACTCATCTGCAAGGACCAGCTTCCCAGTCATGTGCAAGCCTAGCTTCGGAGGGTGATCTGTGCTCAGTTCAGCTCTGAACATCAGTCCTGTCACCTCCAGCCAGCAGGGCTTCTGCCAGTCAGCACACCTGCTGCCTCATTGACAGATGGCACCCATTCATATTATCCTTTGCATTAGGAGAGAAACAGTGCTTCCTCTTTCTGAGATGAATTTAGCAAAGCACAGTTTGAAAGAGTTCTCAGGGTTGGAGAGATGGCTCAGTGGTTAAGAGCACTGACTGCTCTTGCAGAGGACTGGGGTTTGGTTCCAGCACCCATATGGCAGCTAACAGCTGTTTGTAACCCCAGTTCCAGGATTTGACACCCTTCTCTGGCCTCTGTGGGCATTGCATGCACATGGTGCACTTACATTCATGCCAGGCGTACACCTACAATTTAAAAAATATATAGCTGAGCGTGGTGGCACACGCCTGTAGTCCCAGCACTCGGGAGACAGAGGCAGGCTGATCTCTGTGAGTTCAAGGACAGCCTGGTCTACATAGTTCCAGGACAGCTGGGGCTACAGGGAGACCCTGTCTCAAAAAGACAGAAAAAAAATGATAGATGATAGATAGATATAAATATATAAAAATAAATAAAAGAGTAGTTGCTTATTCCAGCAGATCTTGCCAGTCACTATTCACAAGTGCCACTGTCTGCTTCTGATCCCCAGACCATGGCCCTGGCCTTCCCCTTAATTAATCCCCATGCCAGCTAGGGTGTTCTTTTTATAAACTGTTATGTTTCTATAACACTTCCGCATCCAAAGTGTTTTCACATACTTGCTTGTGAGGTAGGTATTATTACAGATTTAGAAACAAGGCGACAAGCCTAAAGAGAGGCCTAGAGTCACCAAAATGATAGTGCTATCATGTGACCAAGCTAAGCCTTGAAAGCAGGCCTGTGTTGGTATTTCGTCCTCTTCCACCTCTGGCACGCAAAGCCGCCTGAGGAGGTGGAGATGCTGGGGCGGCACTGAGATGAGTCTAACCGCTGTGCCTCTTTTCCTTCAGGCTGAGAACACCTTTAAGGACCTCTACATAGAAGTGTATCCAGGGATCTATTCTGTTACTGTGGGCTCAAACGCCTTAACCAGGAAGACTCATGTGGTTGCAGTGGACTCAGGGCAAAGTGTGGACTTGGTCTTCCCCATATGATGTTGACCATCACTGCTATCCTATCACTCTTTTTTAAGTAACAAAAAGAATAAAGCCCCCCTCCCCACGATTGTTTTAATGATGATGCACTGATCCCACTTTTAACACTGGCTGCAGAGTCTGTGAACTGGAGTCTGTCTTTTTCAGAGCCCATTTTAACTTGAGATTATAGAAGTTCTCCATCTACCTGTGCCTTAAAGCAATGATGTGATGATGCTGTCTGAACAGTTTTTACTGCTGGCTTTCCAAGTAAAGGTTAATTATCATAATAAAGGCAAAGATTGAACTAAAGAGAATTCATTTTTATTGGTATTAAGAAATAAGACAGTGTCCCCCATGTACAACTGTAGTCTTTGTGAGAAGACAGTGGAAAGACTAGACCAACATTTTTGCCCAAAGCAGGTGACCACCCCTGTCACTTCTGTGGAACAGGCATCCTCATTGGTCACGCCAGGCCCCTGGCAGGGAGTTCCAGTATATACGTCAGCTCCTGTGCCCCTCTCAGTGGGTGTCTTCCTGTGGTCCCCTGAAGGGAGGTCTTAGTGAAGGGAGGTGATGCTGCTGTTGGCTGACTCACCTGAGGCCTGTTCAGCCTTCTGTTGAAGTAGGCTTTGTCAGCCATTCTTTGTAAACCCCCACTCAGGAATTTATCATCATCCTTTAACTTCCTATAAGAGAAAATTAAATCTTGAATCTTAAATGCTAACTATAATTTTAAAGGTCAAAATTACTGATTTAAAAAAATCAGTGATGCATCCCAAACTTTTTCCTGTTTTTCTTTAGATTTAAGCAGGGTCTCACACTGTAGTCCAGGCTAGCCTGATACTTTTTCAACTAGGCTAGCCTCAGACTTGCAGCAATCCTCCTTGCTTTAGCCTCTCAAATCTTGGGATTACAGGCACCAGCCACCATGCTCAGTTGTACCAGTCTTCTTTAAAAATCATGGTGGCACACACCTTTAATCCCAGCACTTGGGAGGCAGAGGCAGGTGGATCTCTGTGAGTTCAAGGCCAGCCTGGTCTACATAGTTCCAGGACAGCTGGAGCTACAAGGAGACCCTGTCTCAAAAAGAAAAAAATAAAAATATTTTTTTCATTCACGTATTTTTATTTTATATAAAGGGGTGTTTTGCCTACATGAAAGTGCACCCATGTATGCAGTGACCGTGGCCCCTCTGGTTATCCCCGGTTGCTGGGCCTCAGGTAAGTATAGCTTTTCTTTCTCAAGACTGTGCTGAAGCAGGAGGAAGAAGTGGAAGTTAAGGAGTTAGAACAAACATCAGATTTTGGAATCGCTTCTTCTAAATCATCATATGTTGAGAGGGGGATTCCAGAAACAGTTTTCAAGTAGTTGCTGCCAAAACTTGCAATGGTGAGACCGAAGGTCCATTTTAACAGAGGCCCAGGACCTTTCCCCTCCAGTCTAGAATTTTAATACAAGGCTTCCTCTTGGAAAGAGGAGGGAGAGCTTGGTTGGCCCCAGATGGATTGTCCCTCCAAGTATTGCCTTGCCAGGGGTGAGGGAACTAATCCCTACCTTTGAAGGCAGAGAAACCTAGCAACCCTTATGTGCTATATAACTGCAGTGGACTCAGAGCTGCCCTGACTCATGGGTCTAAAGAAATCATCCAAGAAGGTAGAAATAAGATCTCAGCTTCCTAGAACTGAAGACTGATAGAGTCCTGGACTTAGTCACCCTCCAGGCTAAGTGGCTGCCCTAGAAACAGGATGATGGCTACAAAACAAGGCTTGCAGTGGGCCCTAGTTTGTACAGTGCCTAGTGCCCCATTAGCTCTGTTGTTCTTAGCATTGGAACATAGGATGCCTACTGCAGATCCCTCCTCAGTGAACAGATCATGGATTCAGAGGCTTCCAAAGTCAAAAAGAGCCCAGGGCAGGTTATCCAGGCCAGCTCCCTCACACAGCTCTGCCATGTGACCTGGCTCTGCTCTTTCTCTAACCTGATGGGAATTTAGATGGAATGGATGTGAGGCAGAAAATAACACGGAACTCCCCGAACCTACCAAGGTGTGTCCCATAGTCCTCTACTTTGTGACAGTTTAACACCAGCTCCCCTAATAGATGAATCAGATAAATCAATCAGGTCGATTGGGAGAAAGCACCAGAACACAGATAAAAATTCTGGCGGGAGAGTTTATTAGCAAGGGAAATTTGCATGGGAAAATTGTCAGCCCACAAGTTGTGGGCTGGGGTCTTTATGGGGGACTTTAGGGGATGCAGAAGGCGGGAACATATAAAAAATTCGGGGGGGAGCATGAGGGAGCCCAGCGCTTAACAGCATCTGTTAGTCTATTAAAACCGCCCCTTTCTGTCCATCAGCCAGGATCTGGGTCAAAAGGTGTCTGTTTACCCTTTAAGATCATCAAAGGGTTGCAGGAGACACGGGGTGCACTTACATGCAGGCAATACAGTCATACACATAAAAATAATAAAATATTTTTTTAAAAAAGATCATCAAAGGGAAAGCCTGCTGTGCTGAAGAGACTCCTTGGGTCTCAGGTCAAAAGGTGGAGTTTTTATCAAAGGGAAAGCCTTCTGCCTTTGGCCAAAAGGTGCAGAAAAGTCTGCTTCTCTTGACTTCAAAGACCAGGGTGCTCATCACCTGCATTCTCAGGGGTGTGCAAACCTGTGAGGCCCTGCTGCATTGGGGAGGGAGTTGCAGTAGGTTCATCCCCTGTTGTAAAGAATGAGCAACAGAAAGAGGCATTATTCCCACTGACTTACTGAGGGGGACCATCTGGACAGTGCAGCCTAACGACTAACATTTAAGAACCAATTTCTGTACTTCTCAGGGCCTTGGCGCTCATCACCACCTGGAGGCAGTGCCCTGTCAGAGATGAGTGAAAAAGGAAAACGGGCAGTAGGCTGGGGGTGTGACTCTGCTGGTGGAGCCTTTCTTAGCATGCACAAATCCCTGGGCTCCATCACACATAAACCTGACATATGCCTGTAAGCCTAGCAGAATCAGGAGTTCAAGGTCATCCTTGGCAACATAGCAAGTTTAAGGCGAGCCTGGGCTGCATGAGACCCTGTCTCAAAAAAGAAACAAAGGGAGAGGTATTAAATAGGGATGCGAACCGGAGCACAAAAGTCAACTCTTCCTTCTCTCTTGTCCAGCTTTAATGGAGGCCACCACTGCCCTCATTTCACAGTCTCCCCCACAGCCTGACTCCCCAGCACTGCGTCCAAGCTCAGCAGAGCGCACAGGTGCACTAGATTCCTAAGAGACTCATGCGGCCACTGCCTTGGTCCTTAAACTGGAGGACAAGAGCCCCACACCCTTGGCATAACACACCTGGCTTCCCAGGAGGTGGCTCAGGCCCGTTTCTCCTCCAGTACCTCCATGCAGGCTTGGGGGGGCTACTCTGCCTTGGAGGTGGTTCAGGAAGGATGGGGTCAGTGTTGACCGTGCTGCTCACCATCTGTCTCTGGAGAAGTCCCATCTCCAGAGCATCCTCTGAGTTCTCTTCACAAGAGGAGGATGAGGAGGGGGAGGGAGACTCATCCTGAGTAAACACTGCAGCTGCCTCTTTAGGACCCTCGAGGGGCAAAAACTGGGCTGTGGGCTTCAGCTCTGGCTCTGGGACTTCTCTGGCTGTGAACTCTGAAGTTCTAGTTAGAGGCCAGCAGGTGGGACCCACCAAGGGGCAGCTATGGAGGTGGCCCTGGCACAGAAGTTGGCCGCAGATCTGGGAACAGCAGGGAGGACACAGGAATGACATATCCACAGGACACCCGTGTGTAGCACATCCAGTGTTGGGTCCCAGTCGGGGACAGCAAGGGGCCCAGAGAGGAGGACTGTGGCATTCACTGGTGTGAAGCATTTGCAGCCTCTCCACCGCCTTTTTCCAGACAGCAGAGGGTATACCCCTGACCCTGTCTGCAGGCACCTTGGCTGTCTTGCCGTTCCAGAAGTGAACAGTGATTTCTTTTTTCTTAGATGCTATGAACAGAAACGCAACATTTTGTTAGGATTCCCTCTTCCTGTAAAAAATATTTTATTCATTTTTACTTTACGTGTATGTGCTTTGCCTGCATGTATGTAAGTGTACCACATGCATGCAATGCCCAGAAGAGGGCACCATATCTTCTGGAACTGGAGTTACTGATGGTTTTTAGCTGTCATGTGGGTGCTGGGAACTAAACCTGGATCCTAAGCAAAAGCAGTCAGTGCTCTTAATCACTGAGCCCCTGATTCCCTCTTCTTTATGATGAAGTAAAGGTTCTCCTACTCCCAAAGCTAAAATCAGTCCCATCCCTCTGCTCTTCCTGGCTTCTCATGTGCCACTGTGACCAGAGAGTCAGTGGGAATGTCCTCTTCTGTACTACGTTGACCACCGCTTCCTGCCTCCTAGGCTATGAGATGGCCTGGACTTGTTTTTCATGCAAAACCAATGCAACCTCAGCAGATGCTTTTCTTTTCTCTTCAGTCAGGGTCTCCATGTAGCCTCAGCTGGCCTGAAACTCACTATGTAGACCAGGTTGATCTCAAACTCACAGAGATCCACCTGCCTCTGACTCCCAAGTGCTGGGATGTGGGTCTCTCCCTCCCCTCAAGGGCCATTGGCCACCGATCCACGAGGACAAAGGGAGCAGAAGCGATGAATGGGGTCAGGACAGCCAGTGAGCACGACGGAAAAGACTTTCCGGGGAGGCAGATTCAGTGATACAGTTCTGTTTATTCAGTGAGGGTCAGGGAAAATGTAGTGTGGAGGCAGCAGCCAAAGCTTCAGCTGATAGGTGTTCATAGTGTGCTTTATTTACATGTGGTAGTGGGATCCTATCATCTGGCTATAGGGCAATGCCTAATTATCATATAGAAAAAACCTGGGGGCAGTTTTATTGCAGGCTACTATGCCAAAGGTCATGTTCCAAATAAGGTCAGGCATCCGTGCTTGGTGGCACTTTCTAGGTAAGTCAGGCAGAGAGCAGGAGGCCCCCGCTGAGAAAGGGAGTCCTTCCATATAGCGCTGAGCCCCTTAGGGCTATCTGGACATGGTGGACTGCAACCTTAGCAGCAGGGTCCCCCAACACTGGGATTAAAGACATGTACCACCAGACACTGTCATTCTGTGAGGTACAACTGTGCTCATTGGCTATCACAAGAGGACTGTCAGTCCCCAGAGGACTTGGTACAGTGTGGGAAGTAAGATCCCCATGACTCTGGGATAGCACCCCCCACCACATACACACAATGGTGTTTTGTTTTTATTTATTTTTAAATATTCTATTCATTTTTTAAATTTTATTTGTATGAGTATATTGTCTGCATGTGAGTGCACCCGTGTTGTGCAATGCCACAGAGGTCAGAAGAGGGCTTCAGATTCCCCTGGAACTGGAGTTAAGGACGATTTGTAGCCACCATATGGGTGCTGGGAATTGAACCCGGGTCCTCTGCAAGAGCAGTCAGCGCTCTTAACTGCTAAGCCATCTCTCTAGCCCCTCTTATTTTATGATTTTTAGATATAGCTCACCCTGTTTCTTTCCTTGTTTTGTTTTTGTTTTTTTGAGACAGGGTCTCCTTATAGCCCTAGCCCATCTGGAACTTGCTATGTAGACCAGGCTAGCCTCAATCTCACAGAGCTCTACCTGCCTCTGCCTCCCAAATGCTGGGATTAAAGGCATGTACCTCCACATCCGGCTTGATGGATCTGGACTCTGTAGCCCAGACTACCTTCAAACTCATGATCCTCCTGCCTCAGCCTCTTGAGTGCTGGGATTATAGACACACATCACACCCAGCTCACACTGTGATTTAGCTATTCAACACAGACATGGTAATTTTTTAGTTTCTCTGACTTTATTTTATACTTTTTTTTTTTTTTTTTGGTCTTTTTGAGACAGGGTCTCCCTGTAGCCCCAGCTGTCCTAGATTCACTATGGAGACCAGGCTGGCCTCATACAGCAATCCTCATGGCTCAGCTTCCTAAGTACTAATACAGGGATGAACCCCCAGGCCCAGCTTCTATTTCCCCTGATTTAAAAAAATAACAAGATACCCTGGAAGACACAACTGTGTATCTACTGCCACTACAGAGCAGCAAGAAAAGGAAAAATGAACTAATTCTTCTTTCCTGTGGCTCTAAGGTCCCTGAGCTTGGTCTGGTTAACCAACTGCGCTCCTTCAGGAGGCTGCTGGGTCAAAGCAGTTTCCTTACCTCTGTGGTGTTTTTTTTTCTTTAAGCCTGAGAGAACAGTGCCAGGGCCATACTGCACTTGCTCTGGCTCCCAGGGGGCCAGCACCTTGTCCCCGGGCTGCAGTGACTGTTCCACAGGTGATGACAACTGAATGACTTCTTCCTGGAGGACCACACTCCACTGCTGTGCTGGAGGCTTTGGGTCTGAGACAAGGGGAACTTCAAATCCCACTACCAGGGCCCCCTGCCTCTCCAGCTGTGGGAAAGAAAACAGAGTAAGATTTAGCATTAAAAGTAGTAGTGGGAGCTGGAGAGCTGGCTCAGTGGTTAAAGGTGCTTATCACTTGTGTACAGGACCAGAGTTTGGTTCCCAGAACCCACATGGCTGTTCACAACCACTGGTAACTCCAGTTCCAGGGGATCTGGAACCATCTGCTGGCTTCCATAGGCAACTGCACATATATAGTGCACATAAAACTTATGTAAGTACACACAAACAAATACGTAAATAAATATTTTTTTAAAAAAATAAAAGTACAAGCTGGGTGTGGTGGTGCACACCTTTAGTCCCAGCACTTGGGAGGTAGAGACAGGTGGATGTCTGTGAGTTCAAAGCCAGCCTGGTCTACATAGTGAGTTCCAGGACAGCTGGGGCTACAGGGAGACCTTGTCTCAAAAAGACAAAAAAAAAAAAAAAAGGTACAACTAGGGAACAGGGTCTGGGGGTATCTACCATAATGACTGCACACGGAAGGCTGAGGCAGGAGAATAGCTGTGTTTGCAGCCAGCCCATTTTATAGTGAGTTCCAGGTCATGCTGTGCTACAAAGAAAATACCAGTATAGCTTGGACTAAAACCAAAAAGAGGAGCCTGGAGAGATGGCTCAAAAGTTAAGAGCACTAGGTCTTGCAGAGGACTCAGGTTTGGTTCCCAGCACCCACATGTTGGCTAACAACCATCTGTAACTCCACTTCCATGGGATCCAACACCCTCTTCTGGCCGCTGAAGGCACTGCACACGTGGTGCACATACATACATGCAGACAAAACACTTATACATTAAAAAAAAAAAAAAATTCTGCCAACACCTGACTTATAGCCTCAGGAAATGGGAGACGATAGATTTGTCTTCACCACACAGCTCACTAATACACTGGCTGATGTCACATGCTCAGCGGTCTATGGAGATCTGTAAAGATGCATATGAAAACAAGTCCACCCAGAGGAGTGTTTCAGGGAGATGCTGGGGGAGAGGCACTTGCCTCTGGAGCAGCCTTTATCTGAGCTCGATAATAAAAGCCATCTGGTTCCCATCTTGCCAGGACCCAGGGGCCAGCAGCACCTCCAACTCTTCCCAGCCACCGAGGCCCTGGCCATGGAGAATCAGCAGTGTGGAGACAGGGGTGACAAGAAGCACACCTGGGAAAAATGAAAGCAAGTGGTGAGTGTTGGGTCTCCGGGACCCTCATAATTGTGGCATAACTTATGACGAGGCCTATTGTAACTTCCTGAGCCTGACTAAAGTTTGGCGACCTGTCTCTGGCTGGCCAGTCACTTCCTCATGGAGGTGACTCAGTCAGGGCCCCACCTCGGACTGCCTCTCCCCAATCACAGCTGGCGTGGCCAATTCCCAGTGGCTCACAGCCATTGCCCCAGATGACATACACCTTTGCCCTTCCCTTTTCCACACCCCTTTTTGATTAAACTATATAAGGTAATGCCTGACTCAATAAAGTGAGTTCCTGCCTAGACAAGACTCCTGACTTGGTGTGGTTTTTGAGTCGCCGACACTCACCATCCCCCTCAGCCCCTAAGAGAGGAACACAGGCTGGTCCTGGCCTCTCTCCCTGTGCCGTACCTGTCGGAGAGCAGTCCGACAGTGAGTACCAGCAAGCCCTCAAAACATCAAGAAGGCCAGAGAGATGGCTCAGTGGGTAGAGACACTTGCCACCAAGCCTGATGACCTGAGTTCAATTCCTGGAACCTGCCCCTCCCTCCAGTAAATAATTTAAAAAGTAAAATAAAAGTATCAAGAAACACATCTCTCGGGTCTGAGGAGAATCATGGCATGAGATGACATACAAGGGCGTATGAACAGAAATCCCGGCTAGATGTGGCAATCTATGATGACCTGTAAGATAAGGTAAACTTTTAAAAAATATATTTTATTTATTTGTTTATTTTTTGGTCTTTTTGAGACAGGGTCTCCCTGTAGCCCCAGCTATCCTGGAACTCACTATGTAGAACAGGCTGGCCCTGAACTCACAGAGATCCGCCTGCCTCTGCCTCCAGAGTGCTGGGATTAAAGGCATGTGCCACCACGC